ATCACGTGAACGTCCCAGGGGAATTACATACTGCGACTTTGCTTCAAGGAGAGACTGAATTAAACTCCGTATGCCGTCATTGTCTCTGATGTATGTTATTTCAAAACTGGTAGCAACAAAGACGGTGAAAAGAACAGTGTGTTAATTCTGTAACAAACTTGCGACAGTTCGCGGATAACAAAGAGGACTCGAAGAATATGCAATGTATCATGTGTGTCGTGCCAGTAGTTTGGGGAGTGCAAAACATTAACTGATACCTTGTATTGCCGTTAAATAGGCTCAGCTCATATATTAAAGGTGCAAACTTAGAATCTGAGAATACAAATTAAAAAATCATGTCCATATCAACAAAGAAGAATTATCTTGTACAATAATTCGAACGCATAATGGCCCAATGGCCTCCAAGTGCCCCATAGAAATTTCATGGGATACCCGCTTATTTTAAAGGCCTAAATTGTTTTTATTTGCCGATATACACTGGTCAAATAAGGACAAACCCATCTATTGATCACTCTACGACTTAAGGTCGCATGACTTTTTTTTCAGCTGAGTGTTTGGAGCAGTATTCTAAATCATTTTCATCAGATTGTTTCATGGTGTGTATAGAGATGACTAAAACAAAATTTCAACATTTTCCTTGTAAAAAACGCAATTTTTGTGCATTTTTTGTTAACAAGTATTAATACAGCTCTGAAAATGTATGTGCATATTCCACTTTTATGGAAGCAGCTGAGTACTTTTATTCTTATCACTTTTTCTATTCGAAAAATCTTTGATTTCCTTTAAACCTCATTTTACAGCAAAATGGGTTTTCAAGAAAATCAAAGATTTTTTGAAGAGAGAAAGAAATAAAAAAACAAGTAATCACCCGCTTCAGTCTCTCATAAAGGTGAAATATTCACATACTATTTTAGAGCTATTCATTGGTTAGCAAGATGCGATTTAAGAAAGTCGCAAGAAAATGCACAAAAAATGCATTCTGGACAAAAAAGAAACCAAAAACGTTGCTTTTCAGTCATCTCTATGCATACCATGAGAAAATGAGACCAAAAGTATTAAGAATAAAAAAGAGAGACATGCGACATTAATACTTACCAATATTCTGACGAAATTGGTTCTAGATCTAGATTACTTGAGTCGTTTTGATTTCCCCTCTGGCTTCGGAGAAAGATAAATAGGAATTGAAAGTTCAAAAAAAGATCCTCCTTTTTATATTCATCCCTTTTCATTATTAATGATGTAAAAAAAAGACGGATAAAATGATAAAAAAAAACATAAGCAGTCGCATCTAATAAAAGCTATTTGACTATCAGTTCATGCAATTGCTAACAAAAAATGATTTTAACTACAGGGTGGTCCATAAGTCCTCTGAAATTTCAAATTTGAATAAAATTTAACGGGTGAGCGTGAGCGGCGCGGGCGAGGTGGGGGCAGTATCTTCAGTGTCTGGTAATTCAGTCGCCTTGGAGTGTTCCACTGGAGCGGATCGTGCTTTTTGTGTGCGCGCGTTTTATCAAAATAATGATTCGGCAACCATTGCGCGGCGTAAATATCGAGAATACCACAATTTACACAATTTTACAAAGTGTCCAACAGCTCAAACGATTAAGAACTGGGTTGCTAAGTTCGAAGAGACTGGTTCGACGTTAGATAAACAGCGGTGGGGTCGACCAAGGACAACTCGTATTGAAGAAAACATCAACATTGTGGCACAGTCTGTTCGTCAAAATCCTACCCAGTCTACTCGTAAGCATTGCAGTGCACTAAACGTACCCAGAACATCTTTACAGCGGATTTTAAGGAAAGATTTACGTCTGCACGCTTACAAAATTCAGTTAGTGCAGGAATTAAAAGATAATGACGCTATTCAGAGACTAAACTTTGCGAATGAAATGTTGAATCGATTTTCTTCGCTCAATAATGCGTTTTTCTCAGACGAGGCTCACTTCCATTTAAACGGGCATGTAAATAAACAAAATTGCCGTTATTGGAGCCCCGAAAATCCAAGGCGTAAGCATCAGAAGCCCTTACACAGCCCTAAAGTTACAGTTTGGGCTGCTATGTCAGCGCATGGCATCGTAGGCCCTTATTTTTTTGAGGACGACAGAGGTCGCGCATTAACTGTTACTTCGGAGCGGTATGTAGCAATGATAAAGGAGTTTTTGACAACAGCGTTGCAGAATTTTCCAGGCTATAATACGCAGACCTGGTTTCAACAGGACGGAGCTACTGCCCACACCTCCAACACTTCTATGCCCGTCGTCTGTCAACTTTTTCCCAGCAAAGTAATTTCTCGAAGAGGAGACATTTCCTGGCCACCACGTAGTACAGATTTGACCCCAATGGACTTCTTTTTATGGGGCTACCTCAAGAGCAAAGTGTACGACACCACTCCGCGATCAGTTGATGTCATGAAAGAAAATATCCGAAGAGAAATGGCAAGCATTACAGTGTTGACTTGCCGCGCAGTCATCGACAATTTTAGACGTCGTTTATATGAGTGCCGTGATCGTAATGGATTGCATTTAGACGATGTGTTTTTTAAAACATAATTCCCATTCAATAAAGATGATAACAAAATATAATAATTCTTCATAATGTAACTAGTTTGGTTTTATTCCTTTTTTTCCAGCTCAAAGGACTTATGGACCACCCTGTATATAGGGCATACTCATCTTTGGAACAGCATCACAATCAAGTTAGTTCGTACGTGATTTGGTGAATATTCACAATTTTTGAAAGTAGTCAGACTATTCATCAAAAAATGAAGTTATATGCAGTGTTTCTACTACTTGTTGCTGGCGCTACTACTATTGCTGATTTGGACCAACGGAGAGAGTTTAAGAGAAAATACTTATCACAAAAAATGGTGATAAGCTAAATAAATTTCTGAATATCTACACATCTAACGTAAGGGTTCATAAGGGAGAGACCAAGTTTGCAATCAATGCAAATAAATATTGTTTTATTTCATTATATCCGAGTGGTAGATAAAAAAACAAATATCACAAAAAAAAGGTGACATTCTTACAGGTTCCTATCAACCCTGTACCTAATATTTCAAGTCGTATAACACTACACTCCATTAGAAAAATATACAGTACTTTTCAAAAACGTTCCCCTACCTATTCTTTGAACGGGTCGAACAAGCAACCTGAAATTGATGAATATATTTTAGCGTAAAAGTAGCAGTTGAAAACTTCAAAATGGCGGCTGGGTGTTATTTTGAAACAGTTTTCAAAATAGGAGTCAGCAACCATCAACACAACGTATATTATCATACAATTCTTCTTCTCTTGAAATAGTCCGTCCGTATATACAGGGCGACTTTGAAGTTGAGTCATTAATTTTCAGATAATGATTGTAGAAGGAATATAAACCAGAATATGTGTGTAAAAATAAATGTTTACCTTGTTTTATAAAGTATCCTCCCGACAAGTATTTCAGTGCGGACCTGTATTTGATCGTGAGGTCCCCTGTGAGGTCTTAAGTCACCTGATTCACGAGCCCGTTGTACTACATTAACAAAGGCACGAGGGGTTGGCTGCACTCGATTGGGAAACCGATCCGCATAAACATGTGCCATTTTTTATTTCGTTTGAGCCACGCAACAGACACTATTCACACGCTAACCGATAGACACTGACTGTATGTATAACTGAACTGAATAAGATACTTAATTGCAAAAACATCGTTCCAAATTCTTTCGCTTTTTTGTTTCCGATGCGATGAACCGGTAAGGCGGATTATATCCGTTGTTGCCAAACACGAGTACATGATATTATTATTGAGACAGGGCGGTACTCAAACTTCCAAAGGGCTATAACTTTGTTACTTTAATTTTACCAGAAAAATAGTAAAGGAAAAAAACATTTCTTTTGATCAGATCTACTCACTGTTAAAATAAATGACTCAACTTCGAAGTCACCCTGTATATATATATATATATATATATATTCCACTAGAAAAAAATGTTAAAATCTGTCAACTTTTTCAAGCTTAATGCCCCATAATTTATTGCACATTCATATAAACCCTTAAAATAAGTACTTCATCACTTTACCGTTGTGGTAATTAGTTTTTGAATTATAGGCGATACGATGTACAAAAATGATCAACTGGCAGTCTGTCAGTCAGCGATATCGAGAGATAGTGATTTTATATCCTGAGGTTATAAGGTAGCATAAGGAACTTCAACTTCATTGAAAAAAAAATGTTTCAAGGTGGCGCTCAGCCGCCATCTTATGATTTCAAACTATTATTTTTACGTTAGAATATAGTAATCATGCTTCAATTTAGTCACCTCGGCTTTCAGCTTGCTCACTTTAGCAGGAGAGACCTTTCTGAAAAGCTTCAGCAAGAAAAATGTCCAATAACAGTCAACTCATGTTGTACACATTTAGATTTGCATTCAAATCGGCATTCAAATGTTCTGTTTGCAGATGAAATATAGAAAGACCTACACGAGCTCTCTAGAGGATCGCAAACGCTTCAACATCTTCAATCGCAATTTGAAGAAGAGAATGAATCATAATCAAAGATACGACAATGGCGAAGTTGCTTACGCCATGAAGATTAGCAAGTTTACAGATATGAAACAAGAAAAATTCGAAGATTTTTTGCTGAAATTATATGAGACAGAAAGTATGTCAGATAACTTTTCTGAAAATTCTGATGGAATTAGTCACGATGGAGTATCCAAAAACGACTTTGAAAGTCTTTCAATAGCTGTTGACTAGAGGAACAAAGGTGCTAGAACTAAAATTAAAGATCGAGGAATGTGTGGATCATGCTGGGCCTGCAGTGCTGTAAGTACCTATATCAGAATTTCTAACCCTTTTCTGCATTTTTCGTTTTCTTAAGAAAGTAACAATATTTCATTCATATTTTATATCGACATGTGGGAACCTTAGAAGGATAAACACTACAGGTCTAACGGAAGCTGATTAGATCTAAGTCCGCAGGATCTCGTAGATTGTTCTACTGGTACATACGTTAACATGGGATTAAGTGGAGGCCTTATGAACTACGTATATGACTACGTTAAAGACAAAGGAATCATTACTTCCTTACCGAGAACGAGTATCCTTGCAAAGGCTACTCGGATACATGCAAGCAAAAAGGCACTGGGTTTAAAATCAGATCCTACGTCAATGTCACCATTTAAGACCAAAAACCGCTTGCTCAGGATGTTGGTAAGTTTTGAACCTTCAATCTAACTTCGATTATACATCGACAGTGCTCCAGAACTTTATAAAAAAAGTAAGGGATTATAACATCATCTGATGATATTTTTGGGTTAGATCCTTCTCCACAAAATTCAACAATACGAGAGAATGCCAGTGTTCTTTATCTACTAGCTATACTAAATACTTGTTCACACTAGCAGATTGAAAATCTACTATTAGACACTAAATCTAATCTAAATCTCCTTTTACTTCCTACCCCACTGGCGGAAGCTGACGTTTCAGAGGCTCATTTTCAGAAAATGTTGATTTAAAAATTAAGGGTTCTAAGTGATGGGAGAGGGTATGTCTTAATTTTTTGATGATACCGTATTTATACTCTCGCAACATACTTGTCGCCAATTTTTGTTATAAGGATGTTGTGACAGGAGTATTTATTGAACAAGTTACGTCAAGCGCCATGTCTCCAGCTAACATTTCTGACTGCAATTCATTACTTTGTAGCTAAGGTCGGACCTATCTCCTGCGTAATAGATGCCAACTACTTGTCAAGTTACAGTCACGGTATCATAGACAGCACTTGTGGCTGTGGAAGTGGAAGAGTTTTCTTGAACCATGGTGTTTTGGTGGTTGGATATGGAGAAGAGAAAGGCATCGAATACTGGCTGGTTAAGAACTCCTGGGGTGCTGACTGGGGGGATAAAGGATACTTCAAGCTAAAGAAGGATGATAAGAATACTTGTGGAATTGCTACAGATTCGTCATACCTTCTTGTATAAGCGAGATACTAGTAGTGTATTATACAGTTACGTTTGCTTGATTTCTGAGCGACTTAATTAAAATCCCCCTTATAGTGCTTGTCATGTTGATAAGTTTGAACTAAATAAACTAATTATCAGTAATAACTTTTCTTTTGCTGTTTATTGCAATATATGTATTAATCTACATGTTTATAGAATTCCTGATTCAATACATGGTAACATGCATAGTACAGCTTTGGATAAAATAGTGCCCAGAAGTGGCAAACAATGATTTACTATCATATGTTAAGTGCTTTTATGTTGTTTGGATGATACTTTGGCATTAAGCTCTGAGCAAGAGACAAAATTATGCAAACTTCTCGATATTACACGTTCAACTTTAAATTTGACTCTACAACTTTTGTATATTTTTTCTAACTGGTGATACAAGAAAGTCAGAGGGAGTCAGTTTATGGCGGAACACCGTGTACACAGCATAATTACCTGTATGAGGCACATTAGCAGCCATATATTGTATTGAATCCACCGCTCATTAAAGTTTCAGCAGCTTGGAAGCCTGCTGCCTATAAATCTCGGCCAAATGGCCGCATACAGGAACAATACCACGAGTGTAGTGGAAATATCTGGAAAATGTACTTCCTAAACAGTAGGAAATAACATACTTCCCGCATAATTGGAATTCGGAACGTATTACTCGTTTCATCGACAATGCCGTTACCGTCCCTGAAACATGAGCTAAAGTGTACGGACTCTGAATAGCAGGGCCACACAGCCTACTCGGTTTAGTACCGTAGAATTGAATTCTCAGAAACATGAATAACAGACTGAAATGTGGCAATGTGTCGGTTAATAGAACTAGATGGGCAAATAGATGGAAATAAGGATGATCGCCAATTACATACTCTAGCTGGTACCGCAGAGACGCCACACCGCACCGTCACGGTCAACGTCAGAATACTACGTATTCACAAAGCAAACCAGCAGTAACTAGACCTAAGACCTATAGCGTACTGATCAGTTGCTATTGAGCACAAAGCGGTGCTGTCTGCGGTTGGTCATGATTACAGGAAACGGAAAGCAAATTTGTCCATTTCGGGATAGTATTAGGAATAAAAATCAATCCTCACCCCATCTGAAACAATTGACGTTCTAAGGATACTACCTTTTATGTGTAAAAGACGTTTTCTTCTTTATATCTTGACACACGTGTAGCAATAGTATTTTACAAAATTTATCTCAGATCGTTGAATTTTTATGACAACACTGAAAAGCAAATTTTTTGAATGCATATGATTTGACGGTTGTGCGACGGACAAAAGCCAAAAAAAGCAAACAACACTAAAGATAACCCGTTTCCATCGTATTTGAAACATATATTTCTTTCAGAGAACATCGAGTAACGATGGGACGATTTTGCTACTGCTGTGTATCCAGACTCAAAACGCCAATTTTAGAACACGGTTTTCTTGACGTTTATAAAAAGTAGAAAAAAACACCGGAGAACAAACGCACAAAAATGCACTTATGTTCACTTAATGATTCAAAATTTTTGGTTTCAAATCTGAACTACAAAACAATGATGCAAAATAAATAGGCATAAACACATAAACAAAGTAAGACTTCCAAGATGTTCGTTACAACCGTTAACCTGATACCTGACTTTCAACTGCGCATGAAAAAACGTCAATACCATAAATGTTCCAAATTTTATTCAGAACATATTAGTTCCGAACAACAACCAAAGATGCTGGAACAGCGAACATGAATAAAATAAACCGGAACGTGGACTGCTGGAGCAACTCTTTTTAAATGCATATACGTGTTCAGTTAAAGCAAGCCTATAGCTTTTGTGAAATGTAAGCCTCTCCCATGTGCGAATTAACCCCCCCAGTTCCCTGCTCCGGAGCGCATCAAGAATATGTTTCTGACCACGTCGCTCTTCAGTTTTCAGTCGCCGAGACGGATATCTTCTAAAAATGAGTCCTTTCCAGAAAAATCGGTTATTTCTTTCTTGAAAAATCTAAATATATTTGACAAATTGAGTAATATTGAAAAAAATCTATTTTCCGTTGATCGAATTTTTAAATAATCACCGCATCCCTACTTCACGGCAGTCTTCTGTCAGCAGAAATTGCGGTACCCCGTCAGCGGAAGGGATCATTTGGCCAAAAATAATTGGCGCTGAAGGTGGCTGGCTCTTTTGGTAGCTTGCTGTGGGAGACTCAAGACATAATATGAATCTAATGGAAACATACACTGAAAGAAAATGGCGTCACAATGTCGGATGACAGAAATAATCGCTCGATTTGATGAGTTGTCCTCATGGGCGCCCGCCGCTATTCGTTCCTGCTTCCAGTCCCTCCCCCGATACAAACTGCTACACTACTGCTTGTTCGATACACAAGAGGAGAATTTAGCAATCTTTGCCTTTATGAACACGATCCACGGAATTTCTAGACTATATGATTCGAGAGTAAATTGCACCCACTCACTTTCTTTGGCATGTAATATGAATAGAGATAACGAAGTCACTTAGTAGGCTCTTTGATACAGAGTTTCAGATAGCAAAGCTGCATTATGAGCATCGCTTGCATGAACAAAGCATCCTTGCTGCGTTGCATCAAGTTACAGCTACCAACTTCCTCATTGCAATTTAACGACAAATTTCCGAATTACGAGTAAAATAAACTAAAAAGAGGATCGTCCATCTCCTTGTTTATTCCATGATTACAGACCTACAATCTTTCTTGGGGGTGTCAAAAAAAATCGGAATAATAAACTAGCACAGAACTGATAAGACAACAGTAGATAAAATGAGGGCACATAATGTCTGACTCCTATTAGAGTTGCAAGAATGATTATACAGTATTCCTTAAACAGCATTGTATACTGTAAGAACATTGGCAAAACCCTCTTAGAACAGCTATACAAGCGGAATGGGCACATCTAATAGGACACTTCAGTCATTTAAGAGGTTAAATAACAGCTGCAGGTAACAGTTATAAAACAAAAGTGTAAGCCTCTTGCAGCCACTATACGACATTTGCGTCAGTGCAAGATTCAGTTTTTGTCAACTATACAACTATTCTGTTACGTGGTTGTACTTTATTGCAACCAAACTATTTCTTATGTATAGTATAGACGAAGTGAAGAATATATAACTAACACATTACAGTCATCTTGTTTACTTATATATCAGCCATTGTGAATTTCATACACAGGTATATGATAAACTTCTACACTGTGATATAGGGCTATTGAATTACTTGCGCAGCAAATTTTATTGTGATTATCGTGCAGATTAGTTACCCAATTTCTACGGGATTCGTATTTGATTCATATTTTGACAGTTATCAAAAGTATGTCTAGATTTCTGTATCTGTAATTTCGAACTGAAACATAATTATTTAATATTAAATAGAGGAATAACTGTTTGCCCAATATGGCGGGTGGTTGTGTACAATCATGGCATCGTCCATGTTGTCTTTAGGTTATTAGAATATTTTGGTGTTGCCTGCAGGTGCTATACAACAATTTGACAAATGTCTGAAATGAAATACCGAGAGTCGAATGATTTGCCCAGAATTTGTACCAGATCTATATCTTCTGTTTGAACAGTTGATAAAACCTTTTAAACCAATATGCATGCGTTGTTTGTCTTAAAACATTGATTATGGCATTTTACAAAAATATGACAGCAGAAAGTTAGGTTATGGTGACGTTGTTTGCCAACATATTTAGCATATGTACAGCCTTAAACAGTTACTAAACAACAGTTGTATAAGTGCTTCCGTTGGGAGCAATTTGTTGGCTAAAGTAGTAAATTGCACAGCAAAACAAGAAGGCTCGGGTTTGTTTTATAAACGTTACCATGGATGCCACAACACAACCATTTTGACTAACGTGCAAATATGCCGTAAAAAATAGTTGTATAAACGTTTATGCAACAGTTAAAAATTTGCCCTATAAGGTGTTGTATAACTATGCTATAAGAATATTTTAAACACTTCATTTTAGAGCAAATATGTTGCAGAAAGCAAATCTGCATTCCACACAACATTAAGCCAGCATTTTGGTGTTCAGGCAACAACAATAGAGAGCTTTTATGGCTGAAAGGTTCATTTACCAAAAGCTTATACCACTACTTTGCTAGTTGGGAACCAACGAATTCAGACTAGGCAGAAGGAGCAAGTATATGGTTTGGATGTCTCCAATATTTTATAGTCTGTAGTGAGGATGAACGTTTTACTATAAGTTGTTGACATTCCACGCGAAATTCATATTTTTCTGTGAAAACATAGAAGTGCGCGAGTTCCATTCAGGTACTACTGTGTTCCGGACAATTTCGAAAATGGTGAAGGTGGAATGCAAAAAGCCGTTCAGCACAATCGATCGATAAGAGTTATTAATATATTATAGTCCTCGCCGCCGTCGTTACGAAAGGGCATGTCTTTACCTGAATGTTGGGCTCGTTCCTGAACAGTTGCGAGGCAATTTCAATTTCTTCTTCTTCTTTAGTCCGAATCTAAGGTTTTGTTAATAGGGTCGTAGACGCGTAGACCTAGTAACAACACTGAAAAACGAAAAGCATTGGAGACAAATCAAACTTTTTTGATAGATACTGAACAGGTCCAACTGAAACTTTGACTCTTATCGAATTTAATTTTGAATCAATGAGTTTTTAGAAATTGCCACGGGATTGTAGTGAGCAGCGCCCAAAAAACCTATTAAGTAAGCTTTAAATTAATTAAATTGCTTCCAAATCTTTTTATAGGATAACAATGTTGTAATAGCAGTAATTTCGACTGGCATGAGCTTTTAGCCAAGAGTCTGGTGGGATCACAACATCTATATAGAAAAATCGATTAGATTTTGAGCAAGGCTCCCTACTATATCCAATATCAGGTAATCCGCCATTGTTGCCGGTTGATGAAGATTTTTCATATTTTTGACGTGACAAAGTCAAGTCTTAATAAATATTTAATTTCGTTTTATTGCCTTATTTAATTTATCTCTGC